CACCAGCAAAGTTGTTGAGCTTTTTTGGGGGGGGAACCTCCCCCCAAAATAGTGATTTTTAAGCTTTTGGAGCTATTTCTGCAGCGTACATCTGGGTTTTCCATGATGTTTTGCCACTTCAGCAAAATTAACCCCGACGCCATTTTTATACCCGAAAACCAGGACATGTCAGGAATTTTCCTGATGTGCAGCAAGCCTAGCTATATATAGTCTCATTATAGGTAGGAGAAGCCATTCATGCATATTTTCTAGGCATTTTTCTGAACAGAGGGAAAGTTGCGTCAAAAAATGTCATAATACAGTACAGCAAATCATGGGAGCCACCTACTGTTCAAAGAGAACATAGCACCTCAAAATTAACCATCCGTGGCTATCAGTGTTCAGATGTCTAGAACTTCTAAAAGCCCAGATAAATAAAGGTTATATTTTATTTGTGGCTGCTGAATTGGCTCTGTGGAATTTCAAAATGGAGAGGGCAGACTTTAAACTAGTTTTCTTTTCATATTAAGAAGTATGAGGTCTTATTTATGACGCATTGCCTTTTTTCATAATCCCTCAACTCTTTAACAGAAGCAAGAATTAAATTCTAAAATGAAAGGTGTCATGATGCTCCAGATCTTCTTGAAATCTTGCATCTAGACCATCTTCCTAGATGGGTGGAAAAGGAAGAGCTGTGCTTACTCAGTGAAGTAAACGTTCTCTGAACATGCCCAACTATATAAGGTAAAGGTAAAGGTACCCCTGCCCGTACGGGCCAGTCTTGACAGACTCTGGGGTTGTGCGCCCATCTCACTCAAGAGGCTGGGGGCCAGCGCTGTCTGGAGACACTTCCGGGTCATGTGGCCAGCGTGACAAAGCTGCATCTGGCAAGCCAGCGCAGCACACGGAACGCCGTTTACCTTCCCGCTGGTAAGCGGTCCCTATTTATCTACTTGTACCCGGGGGTGCTTTCGAACTGCTAGGTTGGCAGGCGCTGGGACTGAGCGACGGGAGCGCACCCCGCCGCGGGGATTCGAACCGCCGACCTTTCGATCGGCAAGTCCTAGTTGCTGAGGCTTTAACCCACAGCGCCACCCGCGTCCTCTTCTATACCCAACTATACCCTTTTTTAAATAGTTGGATATTTCAGGACTAAGCTCTGGGACTGAAAAGAGATTCTGAAATAAATGCCTTGAATGGTGTTAACTGCTGAAGCACAGTAAGTAAAACTATATATCTATATTTATATCCATACCTATATGTATTTACATGGGCTTTATACTGTGACTTTAGGACAAGGTTTTTCTGTGACAAGGTGTTTGTGTGAACACGCAACACTTGAGAAAATCAACAGTTACTAAAACATTTGCTCTGGCATGCTGAGTGTTGATTGTTCCAGGTGGGGGATATTTCGCACTTAACACCTCACCACATGAAGGCAGTGTGGTAAAGTTACCACATGAGATTTTTACTGCATCATAAAACAAGAAATTCAGTCCTTAGATCTCAGCTAAAAAAACACCACCTTCCAAACACCATACGGAGCCCCACTTTGGTTCCCCCTTGAAATGGCACAAATGACATTGCAGAATGCAGGTCACCCACCCCCCCCAGTGTCACAATCACCAAGTTAAAGTGCATTTCAGTGAATATAAAACTTAACTCATACTACTCGTTTCTGCTTTCAGACCCGAGCCTCTGTGCTGACAGAATGTCAATGCAAATACATTTGATTACGCTTTCATCTGAAGCAAATAGCACTGCCAAATCTTGCCGGTAGATGTCCTCTTCTATAAATTTGGAATTAAATAGCCATGATTAAGATGAAGCAAAACAAGATCTACAATTAACTTCAGTGGGAACTCTTGCTAAGTAAGTTCTAGTGCAGATGTTGCTGCACTGCATCTTTCCTGGCCATTGTTCCACAACATCTGGAGGGCCAGAGGTTCTCTGCTCCTGTGACACTAATCATAGTTCCACCCTTATGTAGCCAAAACAGCACTAACCATGCACAAAAGGGTGGTGTCCACAAATTTGGAGGATCACTTTGTATGCAGGTGTGCAATAAAATATTAGGGGGGGACCCTCAGCATTGAAGGCCAGCCCCTGCAAAAAAAACACAAACAAACACACAAACAAACCACACAGCTCAGTGGGAATGAAATGCACAGAATGCTGACTGACTTCTAGAGGTGGTGCTGGAGGAATGGGGGGAGAATACAAAACTGGAGGGGGAATGGAATGGAATGTCCAGCAAAAGGGCAAAGTCCCAGCCAGCCAAGATGCCAGTCAGCCATCGATACTCCACAGCTGCAACTTTTTCTTACAGTCCCAATTTATTTTATTTCATGAACGTTGTGAATCACCCAACTCTTGCTGCCCTACAGTAGATATATTCTCAGGGAAGGTCACGTCAACGAAACAAAACTGAAACTGAAACACATTGTGCCCTCATCTACACTAGATCACAAGGCTTGGTGTGAAGACACATGATGCTGTGACCTTGAGGAAACTGGGCAGGCACGGGTCCTGCCAGTTTGTGCTCGATGGGAGGTCACATCTGAACTCTGTGTATGCTGTCTTCATACACAGGCAGAATGGGAGTGTGGTTCAATCAATAAAATAGCATTTAAAGTCTGTGCTGAGTCTATAGAGAATGGCTAACCTGTTTGTTTCTGGTACCATTCTGTCCAACGTTGCTTTCGTCCAAGGAAGGCTACATACAAGTTACCATTTACTCTGACTCCAATGCATTCCCATCAATGGTGCTTGAAGGCGTTTGCAGATGGTGTTAGCCACAATCCATATCTATCCTGCATTTTTTTCAAGAAATCTTCACGTTTGATGCGTTTCCCCTCAAACCGGCTTTCATCCCATTTGAAGCCACAAGATGCACTTAAATTGATTTGTGTACAGTTCAGACAGCTGTTGCATCAGTGCAGAAGACAGCTTCCTTGAATTGGTGTTTGGAGAGTTACAGGTGCACTCTCCGCTTCCTCTGTGGTATGTACAGCAAGTGCAAATGAGACTTGGAAGTCAGTGGGGTGAAATGACCTTGCTGTGTTTTATGTAGCTAATGTGTACATACCCCTGAGTTAAGCAAGGGAGTGCTAGAAGTTAAAATACCATTACATTCCACCCCTCCAAAAGGTTGGGTTCGAGCACTTACCCAAGTTTCAATTTTCTTGGAATGAAGGTCAGCTGAGATTGCAGTGTCTTTAAGATATATGGTTTTATTTACTCATATGTACAACCTGAGCCTAGGATGGAGAGGCTCACAGCATGAACATTCCCAAAGAACTCGCTCCTCCATTAGTCACAGTTTTAGGTTCAGCACAGAGCATAGAATCATAAGATATATCTCTCCACCTGCAGCTTCTCATGTTCAGCTTTTCAGCTCACAGGCACAACAACTGTCTAGTCCAGCCCTCCCCTCACTCCCTGTCCTTTGGCCTATTGTTCTCCATCGCTTCGCTGTAGCTGTGGCAACCTAGCTCATTACTGCTGATGAGGGCACTGAAGTGGCCAGCTAATTGTTTTACAAAGAAACTTGTCTGACCAGTTCAGCAACCTTCTCTACTAGATTCTAACCCCCCACTGGATATACGATCCTAAGAATTGGAAGGGACTTGGGGCATCATCCAAACTACCCCCCCCCAAAAAAAAAGTACCACTGTTGATCAGAAAGAGGAAGGGTTGCTAAACTTGTTGAGTGATATGTCAAGGAGAAATGTGAATGGTGGTTTCCAATATTTGAAATAGGTACAAATGCTACCATATAGGAATAGAAAAGAACAGGAGTACATACCAAACTTGATTTTGAATAGTACTCTGAGGGGGAGGTGGTACCCAAAGATATTCTCCAGCTCCCATATATTTGCACAAATATGAGTGATGTTCTTATTCCAGAGCAGATAACCTGACATATGAACAGTCTTGTGTTAATGCTAGAGAAGTTTTAAAACCATGATTTTTAAAGATATATTTTTTCCTGTGTTCTTTTACACTGGCCATGTTATTTTGAAATGTTAGCATCTATTGCCACGACGTTTTCAAGATTATGTGTACTTTGCGAGAGCTACAAACATAATTGTGACAGCAACAAGCATTAACTCCGATAAAAGGCTGCACAAAATCTCTTTCAGTCTAGGGAAAATCTGTTGCTTGTCTGTTTTCTAAGCTATTTTTATAGAGAAAAAGGGGAAGAAAAGCACAAACATGAAATTTAATTTCATATTCGTTTTGATAAAAACATGTTCTGTAATGTAATGGTTATTTCTAAGTTCTAAACCAATTTAAGTTGGCCAGTATTCCCCCCACACACACACATTTGCAGTGCTTTTCTTTGTTTTAGAATTTGCAAGCGTGCTCTTTGGCAGCTAAATAATATGTCTCGCTGTAAAGTTAATACTACTTATTAAAAACCACCGACATGGTAGTTTCAGATTTCGAACTCCAGACTTTTTTCTTTTACTGTGTGAGAAATTCCTACACTGTGGAATGGGCACGTATCAGGCACTGAGAAAGCCCAGCTGGAGATTTACTCACAGATTTTCTTGTTCTCCATGGTTAGTGTAAATGACTCCATAGGTGCAGCATACTTTTCCCACTCGCTTGCAATATTTAATCATGTTGTATTCATTTTTCATTGAAGAGTCCCTTCTATAGACTTGATTGCCATTTCACAATGGCATTAATAGTACCTATTTTTGGCACCTGCTAAAAACAGTTTTGTTTAGGCAAGCCTGTCTGGACATGTAGAATGCTGACATGTGTTTTAATATAGTTTTTAACTTATTGTTGATTTTAATTATTTTCTGAATGTTTTAAATACTGTTTTTAACTTTTCCTTTTCTTATAGTTTTACTGTTTTATCCTTTTATGTACACACAGAGAGAGAGAGAGCTTTATTGCAGTCCATGGACCCAAAATACACAGTATAGCAATGGTATATATATCAACAGTTGCTGAGGTGTAAGAGCGGCCTTGCTAGTCAACAAAGGAGTTTTAGCCCATACATACTGGTTTTAAGTAAGGTTTTATTACAATGCAACAGTATATAACCTTGCAAAATAAACAAATAAAATTATTTCCCCAGGTAGAACCACTACTCAGATTTTAAAAAGGAGGCTGTATTGACAGTTTTAGTTTTAGAATTTCTACAGAACGTTGCTTGCCAGGTTCAGACCTTGAGATGAGCTCCTTTATTTTTAAGGCTGCAATCCTACACACTTATACTTGGGAGCAGAGCAACTCACCAATGAAGTGGGGCAATGCACCCAGCTCAGGCAGCAGAAGCAGAAAATACAACACCTCATCCACCCCACTGCCACCAGAACACTGCCCTCTCGCCCTTGAGAAGCAGGCATCCCAGCACACAGCATTGCCTCTCATCTTCTGGGGTGGAGAAGATGCGAAGCAATGCCTTGACTCTCTGCAAGTTTGATGAGAGGTGGGGGCAACCTGCTGGTGGCTGAAGTGGAATGGATAGGGCACAGCAGGGCAGGGAGCTGCACATTCCTGTTGCGCCTCAGGTGGCAAAATGGGATGGACCACCCCTCCTTGGGAGAGTAAGAGCCATTTAACTCAGTGGGACTTTCTTCTTATGCAGATGGGCATAAGTTTAGGTTGTAAGAACTGTAGGCATTTCATGGTTCAAGATACAGCTGATGAAATTCTGCCTTCTGTGCAAGTCCTAAAGAAGGCTAATGGAATTCTTTCTCCTATGAACCTTAAAATCAGCTACAAAAGCAGACAGGTGAATCTAAGAGCCCATCTGCACAGCAATTTATTTTCAGCAAATGGATAGATGCCAAAGTAGTGCAACAATTCCCCAGAGTCCTAACAGACATGCTGGAGGTCAGAGTCTTGGGCAGTCCCTGTCAGCTGTGTAGCTGATAGGAGCAGAGGGCTATTGGTCTATTTAGTGCAGTATTGTTGATACTGATTGGCCCACTGACGGGCACTCTAGATCTCACCCAACCATGCCTGGAGCAAATACTGTACCACTGAGCTGTGATGGACCTTTCCTTATGGACCAGTGCAATGCATGTTTCAGCACAATTTACATTATTGGGTTCTGGGTGACCACATAAGGTGTGCTCAAGGGAAGTTACAAAACTCACTTCTCTCATTGTGCTTTGATTTGGCACTTAAAGCCCTGCAGATACAGCTCAGATGTGTCCTCCTGAATACACTCCCCCAGATAGAAAAGTTCCCACAAGAAAGGCTTTTGGAGTCATGGATATTTTACAACATTTGCAAAAATCCAACATCCTGGTTCCTTCTGCTGTAGGAAATGCTCTTCAGCTTGATATTCAAGCTTGATATACAGCTGTTTCGGGATAGTAAGTCATGAACGGCAGGACTCTCTGTTTGAAAACATTTGCCAGACGAAAAGAGAGCCATTGACCTTGCTTGCGACTCTTGAAAATGCCAGCTAGCCAGAAAGAGGCGTATATTATATTACAGGCATGTGATTTGTCAGTGTTACACTGCATGCCTTGCAGAAGGTCATTTGCAAGGTCATTGTGGCACAAACTGAAACGGAGGATTCCATACGGCTTCTCTAGTGTGTAGTGGGCCACCATTCATTGGAGCTGATGATACTTTCCATAGTTGCTATGTTTTATTACAGTGGATTTTTGCACTTTGCTTGTGGCGCTGATGGTGTAAAATAACCTACATTAAAATAACAGCACATACACAACAGTTATACTGTGGTCTGTGCTGAATAGTATGGAAAACACCACCAGCATAACCCTAAAGAAGCAAATCCCATTGAGTTCAATTGTACTGACTACTCGCTAGACCTGTGTAGGGTTGTGTTGTAAAGGTGGGTAATTACTGTCGCAGACGGTTTACAAAATTTACAGATTATAGAGGCAGTAGAAGCATTGAAAAGGATCAGATCGGAACTTCTATGCTGGCGTCACCATATTCTCCCCTGCCCACCCCGATGTCCAAGGCAGGGGGAAAATAACAGAGTTACATTACATATAAATTGAGAAGTTTTCCATTGTGATATTTTGCACACTACGAACTATCTAGCTTTTAGTACTAGCTCAGCTGGTCTCTGAAGAATTGCTAACCACCATAAACCTTAATGTGCTTTGCCCTTTGCATAACTCTTTCCTTTCATAAAACTGCATGATTGAGTTCCATGGAGATCAAAAGTGCTTTTAAATGTTACGCTCGAGCCTTCCTGCTTTTTTTCTTTAAGTACATCATATTGAAGAGCTGCTCCATAATCCAAAACTGTACTAAGACTCTCTTTTACATACAATGAACTGAAACAGAGATTTCTTCCCTAACCCCCCCCCAAAAAAAAAATCCACAAGGCTTTTTTGTTACCATTGAAAGCATGGCTATAAAAAAATAAACCAGAATTGGATTTGCATTCCAGTTTTTCAAGCACTGATTTAGTTTGAAGAAAGCCCACCAAAACATTTAAGTGCTCCTCTCCGTTGGAGGGGCCTCTTGAATGGAAATAGTAAAATAGAGCATCAAAAACTGCTTTGGGAGTGCTATTTGATTTCTAAAGGCTTCTGTGTAAAATGATACCGCTATGGCAGTAAAGACAGATGCAGCGCAAAAACCCTAGAGGCAAGAACATCAGTGTCCAATGGCTCCCCTAGTGGCCAAAATATAATGACAATTTGCTCCTTTCAGAGGCAAACTGCCTCACCCTACCTGGTTAAGGCTGTTTACTTGCTATAAAAAGCAGAGGTGTGTGAAAATTGCCTCTCAGAATTCTCCACTTTATTTGTGGGCAGAAAAACAGGAGTGCTATTTCAGCAAAATTTCTACGAGGGAGGAGAAATTATCCAAAATTTTCTTAGGAATGGAGCTGACCATTAGCCATGGAAATACCTTCATTCCTTTTCTCTAAAGTTTCTCTCCATTCTCTCCCCCTGCTCCAAATGAAAGCAGCTGGCACTTCCTTGAAAGCCTGGCCACCATTCTAAATCCATCCTCCACACAGACCTGAAGTTGTTCCAGGTCATAGAAGAGGGGGAAATGATAGTTGCCACACACAAAATGGTAGAACATATTCAAATAAAATTCTGCAAGGCGGCCATCTTTCTCTCATCCCACAAGAAAAAGATAACCTCAGAACCTGTCTCAGAAAAATGTCTTCTAAGAATTTTCAGCTCATCTCATAAAAACAGCATGTCGGTGTTGTTTTTCTCCTCAATTGGGAAAAATACACATATGAAAATATAACTTAAATTCTATCTGTCATTTTGGACATCTCAAAACATGAAGTGTTTTTATGTGTGAGCCAGCTCTGCCTGCATGTCCACTCTTGACAATAACTAGGGTTTTAACGTGGCACAGTTTAAAAACCCAACATAGAATTATATAATATTAAAATATAGATGTCTTGGTTAAATACAATGTCATTTCCCTTGTAGAAAGGGAGACAGGGAAAATATATTCACAAATGTACACATTTTAAAGTGACGTCTCCTCTATATACATATTTTTGGTCCAGTGGAATTCCAAGGGCCTCGGATTTCAATGGAGAGCCTCCTTCTCGTTGCTGTTGGGAGTTCTCAGCAATGTCCGAACGTGGCCGGAGCTGGTTTCAAATCTCAGCCAGCTCATAGTACATGATAGATGAGCTTGGGATGAGGGGTCTCCGGAGTGCCTGGCTGTGACTCAGGGCTGGCACCAGGAGAATCCTGCAGCAAAGTGGAGTCCTGCAGAGAGAGGCCCGCCTGGTCCGAGGAAGAGATTCTATCCACTATGCTGGATAAACAATCCAGACTGGAGAGGGCTGTGCTCACTTCAGACGGATAGACTGGGGCGGGGAAGAAACAAAAGACATTCAATGGAAAGTAAGACATTAGACTTGGCATTAGATGGGCAGACTTAAGGCCTGTGGGATCTCTCTCTCTTTTTAGGTAAAACCAGTGCTTTTTTCCCCAGGGGTACTCAAAGGTACACGGTACCGGCACCTCTTTTTGTTGTTGTTTAAGAGTGTGGCACTTACTGTAACAACTTCACGGTGAGTACTGACATCTCTTTTTTTTTAGAAAAAAAGCACTGGGTAAAAATACCACGGAGATCCACTAAACAGAGCTAGATCCAAAATAGAGATTGGGGTTGTGTTGGAGTCAAAGGCAAAATGGTGGTTCAGGGACAGAGCCAATTATCTCCTGCTTTGAGATGATTAGCCTCTACAAATCTACATCTGAGGCTGCAAACATGACACACAGTCACACTGGATTTCCCCTCTCAAAGAATTCTGGGCACTGTAGTTGATTAAAGGATGCTGGGGACTGTAATTCTGTGAGGTGTAAACTGCATTGGCCAAAATTATTTAAGGGGGGGAAATGGGCTTTAGATGGGCTTTAAAAGTATAGTCTGTAGGAAGCTTGAGTTCCTTTATTCGGCATAATCTTCACATGGGGCAAAAGCCTCCTTTGCTGTTGCTATTATTAAACAACTGAGAACCAAACACCCTTGCTGATCTACTGAAAAGCACCCAGAAATCTACCAGAAGATCTCAATCTACCTCCTGCCAACTCCTGATCACTATGGTTTATTGCTTTGTATATTAATTTTTTTTATCCCAGCTTGAGCATTTTTAATGAATAGGCAGTTCGCAGAGAATATTATTATTATTATTTTAATTTTTTTTGGAAGCCGCCCAGAGTGGCTGGGGAAGCCCAGCCAGATGAGCGGGGTATAAATAATAAATTATTATTATTATTATTATTATTATTATTATTATTATTATTATTATATAATTGAAATGCAACTAAAGCTGCCCTCTCCAAAGCCTTTTGCTGATCTTCCATCAGAGAGAGCACCTCTCTGGTCTTGATCTTATCAGCACTTCCTTGGAGTGGGAAAAGGACGCTTGAGCCTTACCATTTTGGAGATCAGGGCAATAGACATTGTCATGAGTAACGTTTCTTCTGGACCACATCGGGATGTTGCATTCAGCCTGAAAGAGGAGAGAAGAAATGAGTCTCATAGCAATTTCTGCAATGGCTACTACTTCTGCTGCACTGGTGTTGGGCATCCAAGAAGGAGCACCCCAGAATAAGACAGGAAGCTATGGCAATATGGAGGTTAGGTTCCACCTCCACTGACAGGCAGTAGGCCTTTGAATACCAGTTGCTGGAAACTGCAGGTCGGTAGAATGCTGTTGTGCTCAGGATATGCCTGGGGGCTTCCCAAGGGTGTCTGGTTGGCCACTGTGAGAATAGGATGTTGGACTAGATGGGTCACTGGCCTGATCTAGCAGGCTCTTCTTATGTTCAACATGGGAAGCTGCTTTGGTCTACCTAGCTCAGCATTGTGAGTTGCCAGGGACTGAACCTGAGGCGGTTTTCATGCAAAAGCACGCAAAAAGCATGAGAGCCAGTGTGGTGTAGTGGTTAAGAGCAGTAGTCTCGTAATCTGGGGAACCGGGTTCGCGTCTCCGCTCCTCCACATGCAGCTGCTGGGTGACCTTGGGCTAGTCACACTTCTCTGAAGTCTCTCAGCCCCACTCACCTCACAGCGTGTTTGTTGTGGGGGAGGAAGGGAAAGGAGATTGTTAGCCGCTTTGAGACTCCTTCGGGTAGTGATAAAGCAGGATATCAAATCCAAACTCTTCTTCTTCTCTCCTGCTAAGCTACAACCATTCCCATAAGTGAACCCCCTCAATAAAGGTTTTCTTTCACAAAGAAACTTTATGGATGGACTTTACTCATAGTCTGACAGACAGATTTTCTCCCAGGTTAGGGTGGCTAGCAATGACCTTGTGACTGCGGATGTGTGGGTGCTTGGTTTTGTGTTATCTCAAACCAGGTGCCTTCTTTGAAATGGGTTCTGCCTATTTGCTTTGCTGCTGTCCTTTTCCGCCGAAGCAGCTTCCTTCTTCCGTAGTCCAAAAGATTCTGGGTCTCGCATGGTAGTGTTTGTAGGATGCTGCCCATAGAAGCTCCTCATGCTTAGCTTCCAAAACAAGAGATTTGGGCCTGTGCGGTTTATGGAGCCACCTGCCTTGAAAGCCCTGCTCCCAACAACCCCTGGTGTATGGTTACTCAGTGGAATGTTTATGTACTCAGAGACTCTCTATACCATGCCACATGTTCAAGGTCTGAGACCTGGCATTAAAAGAAGGAGCCCTGGTGAGCTGTGCTTCACTTTGAAGTCTTGATCTTGCCTACCTTTCAAGAGGAAGTTGGTTGGAAGACCTTCCCAACTACCGGTATGTGATACTATAGTGTTATTATAGAATCATATAGTATTGCTGCTGCTGCTGCAGAAAAGCAATGGAGTAGCAGCTTAAAATTTATGCGGTGCAACAAAGAATTGGCTGCATGAGTTTTTGTTCTCCACAACAACTCTGTAATCACCATTTCATTTCTGAAATGCACTTCATTTCTAACCACCCCCACTTCTCTCCATCCCTGTTCCCCCACCTCCCAGGAAACTATGTATGTAAATATATATATCCTTGCCTATTCAGATTACACTTCATGGATCTGATGGACTCCAGCCTACAAAAGTTTACTAATGAACCAAAGGAGGAGGCCTCTCAATAAAACATGCAGAACAGCAAAACCACAAAGAAGAGAAGAAGAGTTTGGATTTGATATCCCACCTTTCACTCCCCTTAAGGAGTCTCAAAGCGGCTAACATTCTCCTTTCCCTTCCTCCCCCACAACAAACACTCTGTGAGGTGAGTGGGGCTGAGAGACTTCAAAGAAGTGTGACTAGCCCAAGGTCACCCAGCAGCTGCATGTGGAGGAGCGGAGACGCGAACCCGGTTCCCCAGATTACGAGACTACCACTCTTAACCACTACACCACACTGGTTCACCCATGCGTGATAAGACTCTTTGTTACAATATTACTACAAATAGAAGTAATCACATGGGCAGATCAGCTACTGAGATTGCTTCCAGACAGGAGATTTTTGCTGTGCGTCCACATGCAAGTTTTGGTTTTTGCAGCATCCACACCCCCATAACATCATCGGGCTGCAAGCCCATATTTGGGGGGGGGGTGTTATATTTAATCCAGATTTAATTTGACAGTTGAACATCCAAAAAGGTTTTTTTTAAAAAGAAAATCTGTTAGACATCTGCACTCGATGCTAGAGTGGAAGCTCATTAGTGTCATTTGCGGGGGGTGGGGTTGTCACATGTGTGGTGGTGACCTTTTCGTGGGTGGCCTCTATCACTCCCTCTGCTACTTCTATTTGCTGCTTACCCAAGCACAACTAGCCATTTTGTTCTGGGTGCCCAAACAATGCAAGCATACATATTCCCACCAATTGTAGCCTACTGAAAATGTGGCCAGATTTCAACAGCCCAGTTAGAAGGACCTGTTTTCTCAGGGACTCTGCTGGGTGGGAACACCTTGCAGACTAATACGTGTATTGCAGGGGGTTGGACTAGATGACCCTTGGGTCCCTACCAATTCTATAATCCTATAATTCTATTCTATGACAATGTGTTGTGCACTTTTAAAAACACATCATTGCAGAGGTTTTGTGCAACACCTCTATATCTCCTGTGCAAGCCTTAATCCAGTAAATATCAGCTCTTGCACAAGACCTTGATTTAAAAATTTAAAAAATTACGGAAATTTATTTTGTTTAGTGCAAGCTTCCATTTTCTGATTGTGAAACAAAATAATTGATGCTTTTGCACATTTCCTGGTTTGTTTATTTTTCAAGAAGATATGCGCGCGTACACACACACACACACACACACACACACACACACAAATACCTGTGCACATGCCCAGAACAGAAAATGGCACTGGAGAGGAGGGATGGTTGAGAGGAGGGACTATACTATCTCTCAATACACTCCATCAACTTCCACCCTCTGGTGTGGATGGGAAGCAATGGAATAGCAACGAAAATCCATGACTGGGAGAGGGGGAGAGGACAGGAATGTGTGTAAGCTGATGTTCCAGACAGATGGTGCCAGACAAATAATGTACCCGGTACACAGAAAAATAGGATCTGAGTGGCCCATTTGCGATTTAAGCACTTCCCCACAATCTGGCAGGAGCACCCTGAATTGCCGCAGCTGGTAGTAGTAACGGTAGCATTTCTTATGAATTTGGTTAAATCGGATGGGAGCCTGGCCCCTGCCTGAACAGAGTGTACTTTTCTGCTTTCTGGAGGAGGGAAGAAACCATTGAGAAGGCAGCCAGCCAGCCCAGGCGCAGTTTTAGGAGTTCCCTTTGACTTCCTATATTTCCTCAACGCTGTGCTCCGAGGAAGAAGGGGAACGAAGGCCAAGCAACCTGGGGCATCTCCAATCTGTGTGAGCTGCAGTGACCATGGAGAATGGATTGGAGCAAGGGAAAGCCGCGGCCAGCCAGGACAGGACCCTTTCCCAAGCGCATCAAAGCTTGGCACATCCGGAGCCAAATGCCTGGTGAAAAGAATGTGGTTTCAACAACAACAACAACAGTCCCATAACACAATGTGGGAGGGAGGCCGTTCTCTCCATCAGCAGGGAAGAAAAACTGGGAGAAAACAAGCGTCATCTCAGAGGGAGCTGTTGTTTCCACCATTATCTTGTCCATCGTTAAATCTTTTGATCAAATAAACATACAGTGGTACCTCGCCTTACATACGCTTCAGGTTACAGACTCCGCTAACCCAGAAATAGTGCTTCAGGTTAACAACTTTGCTTCAGGATAAGAACAGAAATCGTGCTCCGGCGGCGCAGCGGCAGCGGGAGGCCCCATTAGCTAAAGTGGTGCTTCAGGTTAAGAACAGTTTCAGGTTAAGTACGGAGCTCCGGAACGAAAACTTAACCTGAGGTACCACTGTACAGTGGAAAACTCTGACAGTGCAATACTTGATCAGAAGTAAGTTAGTTCAACAGGGCTAAATCCAAGGTAATTTACACACCGATTTCCCAGGATCTTCCTCCTAAAGAAACGTGCTTAATAGGACCCCAGGCGACGGCTCCTTCAGCACGCCCAGAGAACTGGATTACGGTAGTTAGAATTTAAGGACTTTTCACCTGCCTGTCGATTTCAAACGGCTTTCAAGATCTGGGCGTCTGGCTAATTGCTTTCATTAAGAGTGATCTACTACTAACACCACAAATCACAAACATGTTTACAGTACTTCCATAATAGGGAACACGCTGAGTTTAACGGTAGCTTGCTTCCAAGAAAACACCCACCGGGTCACAGCCGGAAGCTCATTCCCTCGCTTGGAATTTCCTGGCCACGCGCGTTACAAAGAATCTGCGTAAGATCGCAGCGCAAAGTGAGCGCAAGTTTTGCCTTTATTCCTTTGCTGACCCGGCCGCGGCGGCAAAACGCGCGACTTTCTGGCGCAACCGTGTGGTTCCATGCGAGGCATAGTTAGTAAAACGGACGTGCCTCCTAGCACAATTCGGCTTATACTCCCAAATTATTTGGCCTAAAACTGCAGCCTTCTGGCTATTTAAGTCTTTTACATTCTGTCACATTACTCTGAAGGATATGTTCCTACCTTAGATCGACTTGGTAAAAGTTGCTAGCTTCTGAACAACGCAAGGCTCTTCCTCAGAAGCAAACAATTTGGCCAATGACGCAACAAGTTGATGAAATCAGCCAAAATACATTTTGTTCTGACGTAAGCCTATTCGTTTCAGTGTTCAGCATTAAAATATATCATACGTTCACATTTCTCACTATCTGCAGACACACGCGCCCGCGCAGGGACACGCGAACGGCTCCGGTATTATTGCATTTGACCATCTCCCCCAGCAGAGAGGTCTATCGAAATGGGAGGACTGGGTTCAAGCGCGTGCTCAGCGAGGAGAATTTGCACTGCAATACTTCACCAACTTACTTGGGAGTATTGAACTCAATACTTTGTTTTCCATCTGTCAGATGAGATGGATAACGACCTACCTCGCAGGATTGTTGTGGATGAGGAAAGCATTTCCAAAGCCCATAGCAAATTCTCTAAAGACGACTAGCAGTCTATCACAATGCCTTGCTCTGGGTGTGCGCGCACGCGCAACTAGCGAGATGCTCCATCCTCGCATCAGCTTAGTGTGCGCGCGTACCTTGCTCACTGAGGTGCAAAAGATTCTCCACTCTTGCCGTTTCCCCTCTGCTAGCCTTTACCTTCCCATAGGCTGGTTTGTGTTTGTTTTTCTAATCTGTCTTTTATATATATATATATAGGGGTATTTATTGTGATCGCGCATAGGCAAGCCGCCTCGACTGAGGCGTTAAGCGTCAGAAAGCGGGAGCGGAAACCATATCAGGAGAAACCTAGACATAAATGATCGTCCGAGGCAGCGTCTTCCAAGATCGCTATGCCCTTCTGCTCTGCAGGAAGCCCGGGCGCAATGCGTAACCTTGAAGCGCCTTTTGTTTCCAGGCGGCTTAAGGAAGCGCCTGCCTTTCCCCTCGCGGCGCTCCGAAGCTCCCCGCGCGCTTCACACCCGCCACGACCCCCGACGTGGCCCCCGCGCAGCCGCTTCCTCTGGGAGAGCGCGAAGAGGTCCCCTTTCCCTCCCTGGCCCGGTCCACTAGCCTCGGGTGAGGTCCCTCCAAAGTCCTTACCAGGCCGTCGGAGCAGCTGGAGGTGGGGCTGTTGGGCTCGGAGCAACTTTGTCCGCCGGGCAAGCGGTAGTAGTGGTGCACTTGCTCCCTCAGCAGCTCCTGGAGGCTCTCGATGTAACGGATGGCGTTCCTCAGGATCTCCACCTTGGGCAGCCGCTGGCTGGGGTTGGCCGTGGTGCACCTCTTGAGAGCCTCGAAGGCTTGGTTGACTTTCTTCAGCCTCCGCCTCTCCCGCAGGGTGGCCGCCTTCCTCCGGTCCACCGTGCTCGACTTCTTCTTGCAGGCTTTGCAAGCCCACAACAGGCAGTGGCCGGCTTGGTGGTGGCCCGTGGGCGCCCGGACGTGCTCCTCGCCGTCGGATCCCCCGGGCAGATCTGCCGGGTGCGCTCCGAAGGAAGAAGACGAGGACGACGACGAGGAGGAAGCTGCCATCCGCTGCGCGAAGTCCTCTTCCACTAGTACCTCCTCGGGGGAAGGGATGCAGGAAGAGCTGTCGTAGAAGAAGACGGCTGAGGATGGAGAGAACTGGCAGCCGTCCATCAACTCGTCCATCCTTGGAGCTGAGGGCGCGCCAAGCGCCTGGGATCTGGGAGCCGGGCAGGCCAGGCCGGGGCTCTTTATACCCGCAGGACAGGCTAGGCTGCCCACCCAGGGGCTGCCTACTTGCTCAGAGCATCATCGCCACGACCCCTACTTGGGGATGGGATTGGACGGGGGGGACGTCTGTGTAGAGCTTCCCCCTCCTCTCTCCCAAGGGGACAACAGTCTCTTTCCCAGCTCCTTTTGGCTGCTGCCTTTTAAAGGCGCGGATCCGGGAGGCTCAATTAGTAACACTTTGGAGATCAGAGCAGAAGGAAGGGAGACAAGCAGGAGCAACCAGGAGCGGGGGGGGGGGAGGCCGCCTTTCAAAAACGCGACGGCGCAGTTAAGTGTCAGGTCAGTTCCCGCCTTCAGGAAGCCGATAGCTCCATCCTAGGCCGTCTGTTTAGAAGGAAATCCCACAGGGCAAGTCCTCTCTCCAAGAAGGGTGCATTCCTAACTCCACTTTCCTGGGAGTTTAGGACTTTCTTCTGAGTAGACGTGGCTAGGAATGCAGGTTTAGAACGGGCTGACCTTTGTTCTTAAGAAGAGAACAAAGTTGGACAATCGTCGAAGATTTCAGGTAGCCGTGCTTGTCCATGGAAGCAGAGATGCCAAACGGAACACGAAGGAGAATTGAAAGAACCAGCTTAAAAGCCATTAGGCAATGCGGCAGGCACATTCGGAAAAGACCTTCCTGCTGTTCCTATGAGTTAAAATTACTATGTGTGTCCGTCCGCTCCCCCCACCGCGGTTTCAGAGGGACGATCGCAGCCCTAGAGTCTCTATCCTAGAATCATCGAATTGTAGAGTTAGAAGAGACCCCAGGGTCATCTAGTCCAACCCCCTGCAATGCAATCTTTCACCCAACGTGGGGCTCGAACCCACAACCCTGAGATTAAGAGTCTCTTGAGCTACCTATGGACAGTACAGTGGTACCTCGGGTTACATAAGCTTCAGGTTACAGACTCCACTAACCCAGAAATAGTACCTCGGGTTAAGAACTTTGCTTCAGGGTGAAAACAGAAATCGTGCTCTGGCGGCGAGGCAGCAGCAGGAGGCCCCATTGGCTAAAGTGGTGCTTCAGGTTAAGAACAGTTTCAGATTAAGAACAGACCTCCGGAACGAATTAAATTCTTAACCTGAGGTACCACTGTATTGTAATAGTAATAATACCAGAACACACACACGCTCCTTTCTAATGACTGATCAAAGTTTTCAGAACTCCTGGCTTCCCAGTGCGGCGGATTTGGAGAATGCTACTCAATGTTCTACCAGAAATTGGGAATTTTCTGATGGGCAGGAGGAGAAAAATTTTCACATAATTCTCCTTCCACCCCACCCTCTCAAAGGCTGACACTTCTTAAACCGAATGGTTAAGATCATTGGGCAAGCAAAAAGCCAACATTTAAAACCCCGTTGACTGTTAGACCTGTGGAACGCCCTCCCATCAGATGTTAAGGAAATAAACAACTAGCTGACTTTTAGAAGACATTATTATTATTATTATTATTATTATTATTATTATTATTATTATTATTATTACTACTACTACTACTACTACAGCAGGGAGAGATAAGGATTTGTGGAGTGGGGCGCATGGGGTGTTGAAATCTTGACTTGGTCCCCCCCCCCAGCGCCTGCTTATGCAGAGTCACCGGAAGCCACTGCTCTTTCTCATTTCCCAGCCCCAAGACAGGCTGCTTTAGCCCAAGCAACTCTTGCCCTGCCGCCTTTCCTCCTCGCTCTCCTATTTCCCCCCTTGCTGCAGTTTCGTTTTGACAGAGGCTGCGCCGGCGGGAGGCGGCTCCAATCCTGTCTCTGCACCGTTACAGATGCGTTCCAGCTGCCACCGCCCGCCCCGCCCCTCCTCTCAGGGTAAAGTTTCGAGTCTCACAGATCCTGAGTAGCTTGACGCGAGGCGGTGGGAACAGCCTCCCCGAGGTCCCAGCAATTAAGAAGTGCAGCAGGGCAGGCGGAGGGAGGGGGAGCCTCAAGGTGGGCTAGGAAAAGGCCTTCGCCAAGGCCCCAACATGCTTTCCCCAGTTCGCAACCTGCACTTTTTAAGCGCTACTTTTCCTATGGAAAGAGGTCGGTATTAAACGTGCGCATAGGAAAGGAGAGGGCAGTTTCGATCCGTGTTCCTGAGTCCAGATGCAGAGAAAGCTCTTGCCTTCTGGCAAGGCTTCTTGCTGGCCTGGATGCGAGAAAGGGGGGGTGGAAGAAGTTCGTCTAGGAAGGCAAATTTCGTTGCTCCGCCCACATTTGCTTCTGGACCCGCCCGCCACTGGAATGTGGCCCCCGGAACATTGTCTAGAAAGGAATGCGGCCCTCCACCTGTTGAAAAAGGTTTCCTATCTATGATGTAGTGTAGGCGAACGAATCCGAAAAGGAAGTCAAACCATTGGCTTCAGTGGACTAATACTGATTTTGTGCGGGTCTTGGGTTCATTTTGTAACTTATTTGTTACTTTTTAAAAATAAAATAAAAACACTTTATTTTCAGCGTTGAAACGCATCGAAAGAGAAGTAGTAATAAGTAAGTCAAAAGGTATTCGAAGGGGCGTACACAAATACAGACCCAAAGTAAATGTCTTGTATGAACAATTAACAGATGAATTGCTGAGTCCCTTCTTCGCTGCTCAAAGGAGAGCCGTGATTAGGGCTATGTCTACACTTAACCCCCCCCCCCAAAAAAAAAGAAACCTGGAAATTTTACTGAGAATTGGCGATCACGTCCATCTTCACTGGGGTGGATCGATCATCAATAATAATTGATGATGGACTACTTTACAATAAATATAAGCGAAAGGTAACAGAGGTGCCTTCAATTAATATTTTAAGGAAAGGTGAATGCTGCATATATATATATAAATAGTATTCACATTTCCTTAATATATATATAATTTTTAATAAGTTAATACATAATATAAAGCTTTCATTTTAGCGAAGGCGATTTCTGCCTATTATAAAGCACAGGCGTGTCTGTCTCTCACACACTCTTTGAATATATTCCCCACTTGATACAGGTAAATGGAGTCATCTCTCTCCCCTAATAACTTCCCAGCCACCATAGCGTTGGCTAGGGCTGATGGGGGTTGTCGCGAGCACCAGGTTGGCGAACGCTGCTCTAAAGCAGTTTGCAAAGGGAGAGACGCTGGTAGAAAATAAACTTCTGGACAACCGACGGAACCGTTCCTCTGGTTTCGGGGAGGAATCGCCCACCAAGCAAAGAAAGAGGTATCTGGTGAGCTGTAACTCGAGGACTGGCTCGGATGGAGGTTTTGAGCTCGCGGATTCCCCAGGGGCGAAAATTAACCCGTTTACCGATTTATCCTCCGAAGAACACAAATAAACTTGATCTTTTCCAAGCGCCAGCCGCCTTTTCCAGGGCGCTTTCTCTGCAAATCAGCTCGGTGGCTGAGAGGGCCTCGCAGCGGGGCTAATAATACAGTTTGATTCCTATCAGGAGGACCAGAAGCGCTGCGCGTCGCTCGCCTTGTTGCTTCGTGACCTCAGGGGGCATCAAATACTCGAGCAGATGCGCAAAGGGATGGGAAGCATGGCTGGTGCAGTCGAAAAGAAACCGTTAAGAAGGCGAGAACTAGCCTGGATGAAGGGTACACCACTAGCTCATAGAGAGCTGATTCTTGTCGGCTGAAAGGAGAATGTGCAGAGACGCCAGTTATTGTGCACATTCGCCAGGCGTTGCTCAGAAAGCGCTTAGTAGCTTTTGCATATTCCCCGCCAATGTGCTGTTTAAAAAGCTCGCCTCGAAGCTCCAATCATTACTTGACAGCTAATCATGCTTCTATCAGGGAGTTTCTGAACGTCTGAAAGTACAGAGGGGAAAGTGCCTTTGCAGGAATGCTGTCAAAATACATGGGAATAAAAGACTTCTTCAGATTTTGGAAGGAGAACTCGGTTTTTTCCCCGGAGGAGAGAGATTGAGTCTTTTTCGTAGTTTATTTGGAGTTTAGATGCACCCTCACAGAGAAACAAAAAATGGGCCATTGAATCAACAATACTATCAATTTTTGATGAGCAGGTTTGAAGCACACCGCCCCCCAAACCATGGAAACTGTAGTTTACCCCTCACAGAGCTTAACAACACACCTAACAAACTACAGTTTCCCATGAGTCTTTCCTGGAAGCTATGTGCTTTAAATTTATGGTGTGTACGCAGCCCAGTCCTTCTTTCTTTCTCTTGAGTAAGAAGCGATCCCTCCAGCCTTCGTTGTGATGATTATTGAAGGGATATTTGCGCTTACAGCACGTCAGCTCTCGTCTCCTTTGTCCAGAGCTTTGGGGAAAGTCCTGGGCTGCTTTCTCCTGCTAAAAGGAGCGCTGGTCTGTGTGCGTCGTCACTCCAGCAAAAGTGCATTTGGTATCTCTCCGAGGAGCCGGCTCCCTTTTTGTAAGCCGATCTCAAAACAAATTTGCAAACGTCCAGCCGGAGAGAGGAACCAGAGAAGCAGGGAGTGGGGGAGCAAAGGAGCCCCCACCCCCGGAGGAGGCACTTGTGGGAACCGGGCACCGACTGAGTGAGTGAGAGGCTGCACGTGGAGGGGAGAGAGCCGGCAAAAAGTTGACCCGTTCCCTCTCCGACATTTTCAGAGGCCTCTACAGAGCTGTGAAGATTTTTACGCAGGGCTCACGAGAGGCTGGCTAGAGATTGAACCTGCTTTCAATTCCAGCTCCAGCCAGGATTCGAGTCAATGGGAAGTCAAGGGAGAACTAAGCTCTCATTGCCAGAATAAGTTGCCAAAACTACCGAAGGACAAAGAGTCTGGCCTGCTCCCATATGTTTCTGCTACACATGATCTATTCCCCATCCCATGGAGATTCCGATCCAGAATACAGTGGTACCTCGGGTTACATACGCTTCAGGTTACATACGCTTCAGGTTACAGACTCCGCTAACCCAGAAATAGTACCTCGGGTTAAGAACTTTGCTTCAGGATGAGAACAGAAATCGTGCAGCAGCGGCGCAGCGGCAGCAGGAGGCCCCATTAGCTAAAGTGGTGCTTAGGTTAAGAACAGTTTCAGGTTAAGAACGGACCTCCGGAACGAATTAAGTACTTAACCCGAGGTACCACTGTACTTACTTTTTTGCTACAGTGTGGGGGAGGAGTCTGCAAATCTTTGCATTTATCAAACGCAATGTTGTTTGATGTATATAGCAAAGATTCGCACGATGTAAATAAG